GGGGGTGGGAGGATGGGTTAGCCTGGTGATGGGTATTAAAGAGGGCACATTCTGCATGGAGCACTGGGTGTTATACGCAAACAATGAATCATGGAACGCTACATCAAGAACTAATGATGTAATGTATGGTGATTAACATAACATAATAATAAAAAAATAAATTAAAAAAAAATCCTAGAGGAGAACACAGGCAGCAACCTCTTTGACATCAGCGGTAGTAACTTCTTACTAGATATGTCTCCTGAGGCAAGGGAAACAAAAGCAAAACTGCACAATTGGGACTTCATCAAGATGAAAAGCTTCTGCACAGCAAAGGAAACAATTAGCAAAATTAAAAGGCAGCCTACAGACTGGGAGAAGATATTTGCAAATGACATCTGATAAAGGGGTGGTGTCCAAAATCTATAAAGAACTTATCAAACTCAACACACACAAAACAAATAATCCAGTTTTAAAATGGGCAGAAGACATGAATAGACATTTTTCCAAACAAGACATACAGATGGCTAACAGAGGCATGAAAAGATGCTCAACATCCCTCATCTTCAGGGAAATACAAATCAAAACCACGATGAGATACCACCTCACACCTGTCAGAATGGCTAAAATTAACAACACAAGAAACAACAAGTGTTGACGAGGATGTGGGGACAGGTGAACCCTCTTGCACTGTTGGTGTGAATGCAAACTGGTGCAGCCACTCTGGAAAACAATAAGGAGGTTCCTCAAAAAATTAAAAAATAGAGCTACCCTACAATCCAGCAATTGTACTGCTAGGTATTTCCCCAAAGGATACAAAAATACAGATTTGAAGGGGTACATGCACCCCGATGTTTATAGCAGCACTATCAACAATAACCAAACTATGGAAAGAGCCCAAGTGTCCATCAACTGATGAATGGATGAAGAAGATGGAAATATTATTCAGCCATCAAAAAGATTGAAATCTTGCCATTTGCAGCAACATGGATGGAGTGAGAGTGTATTATGCTAAGTGAAATAAGTCAGTCAGGAAAAGACAAATACCATATGATTTCACTCATATGTGGAATTTAAGAAACAAAAGAGATGAACATATAGGAAGGAGGAAAAAAGAGAGAGAGGGAAACAAACCATAGGAGACTCTTAACGATAGAACAAACTGAGGGTTGATGGTGGGAGGTGGGCAGGGAATGGTCTAAACAGGTGATGGGTATTAACGAGGGCACTTGTGATGAGCACTGGGTGTTGTATGTAAGTGAGGAATCTCTAAATTCTACTTCTGAAAACAATATTATGTTATATGTTAACTAATTAGAACTTAAATAAAAAATTTGAAAACAAGAATAAATAAATTAATTAATTAAAAAGGAAACTTTTAGAGAAAAACGAAGTAGCCACAAATATTGTGATCTCACCAATCAGACTTCCACCATTTTCCCTAGGTGAAGTAAAAAAATCCTCTGAGATTCCCAACCTATAAATCCTAGGTATAAAATTTCTTCAAAAACACAAGGTACCGGAAAATCTTTTCCAGAATTTAATTTGCTGAGCACAAAAAGGGTAGTGCTTTTATTGAAAGTGTTCTTTTGGTGTTGTTTATGTGGACATTTGGGCATGTGGAGAAAACATGGCATCTATAAGTTTGACGGCTCTGTGGAATAATAATGATTAAATCAACTCCTACTTTCCTTGGTGGCTGAGATGATTTTGCATCTCCCTAAAAGTAATAGCACAATGGATCTGATTGATGAAACACTAATAGAATGGAAACTCTTTTAGGTGTCATGCAATTGTCACTGCATGGAACAAACAAGGTAAAGAATGATTAAGGAATCACAAACATTAAATGTTTTATCCACATCCTTTAGCTATATGTTCAATAAGGTAATTATAGTAAAGCATAGTATAACAGGATTACTAGCCAAAGGTAAAACAATGGTGGGCCCCCTCATCATTTTTCAGCTAAAAGCAAGCTATTGTAAGAGATTTAGATGCTCTTTTACTTATTATAAAAGATGCTCAGATAAAATGGAATAGTAGCTGCTACATGTTTTTAAAGCATTTGAACAAAAGAAAGCCTTAATGCACTCCACAGAAAACAACAGCAACAAAGCAGGGTTTAGCAGCAGGTTGATAGCTGCTTACAGAAAAAGTGCTTCATTTGCTGGAACCTGATGAAGAAATAACCAAACTGATGGGCCTTATGAGTTCAACTACAGCCTTTCCTCCATAATACCTGCTGCAGAGATCTTCCTATTACTATTCCAGGTAAGATACTGAAATTGGCATACATGCAATGACAACTGAAACACAGGTGGATATTCAACTACTATTTGGTTACCGAAAAAGCCAGTTCCATTCCTCCCTTGCTCCAGGGTTCAAGAAATTCTTTTTCCATGTGGCTGTGTGAAACAGTGAGTGAATGCTAAAACATTAGAAGCAAAAAATATAAGGAAGGACAGGAATCTTGAGTCTTTTTCTGAAAATATTCGGAAACATCCTCTTTAAGAGCTGCACAAAGCTTCTGATTGTGGGATTGCTTCAGTATAATGGCATAATCACAAGTGCTCAAGTCTTCAATCCAGGGGTAGAAAGAGACAATTCATGTTTACAGTAGTCAGCCACTACTGGAGGTGAAAAAAAAAAAAGATTCATAACATCAATACCAGTAGATTTTGATGTTATGAATGTATATTGGAATACCTAAAACAACCATTAAGAAAACTACAAAGCGAATACCTAAAAACACTATAAATAAACCAAGAAGAAATCCTGAAAAGTATTCAAAAAAAGAGAAACAGAGGAGGGTTCGGGTAAAAATGGCTGAATATTTAGCTTCGATATTCGGGACTGAAAAGGACAAGGTTAACTGCTCTTTTTACTTTAAGATCGGGGCCTGCCGGCACGGGGACCGGTGCTCCCGGCTTCACAACAAACCGACTTTCAGCCAGACCATAGTGCTTCTCAACCTGTACCGGAATCCACAGAACACCGCCCAAACCGCAGACGGATCGCACTGTCACGTGAGCGACGTGGAGGTGCAAGAACACTATGATAACTTCTTCGAGGAGGTGTTCACGGAGCTGCAGGAGAAGTACGGGGAGATTGAAGAGATGAATGTGTGCGACAACCTGGGGGATCACCTCGTGGGCAATGTCTATGTCAAGTTTCGGCGGGAAGAGGATGCAGAGCGGGCAGTGGCTGAACTCAATAACCGCTGGTTCAACGGGCAGGCCGTGCATGCTGAGCTCTCTCCTGTCACCGACTTCCGGGAGTCATGCTGCCGGCAGTATGAGATGGGGGAATGTACCCGCGGGGGCTTCTGCAACTTCATGCACCTGCGGCCCATCTCCCGGAACCTCCGACGTCAGCTGTATGGGCGGGGACCCAGGCGCAGGTCGCCCCCGAGGTCCCATACCGGCCACCGTCCCCGAGAAAGAAACCGACGACGTTCCCCAGACCACCGGCATGGCCGCTTCTGAGACCCTGGCTCCCTTGATCTCCACCCTTGACAGGCATAAATGTTCCTGGCCAGGACCCCTCCTGAAAGCTCCCTTAACCCCCCAGTGCCATCTTCCCTAGGCTCCGGGGCTCCATGATGTAAATCTGTTCAACACAGGGACCTTCTCTCACCACCCCTCCCCTAATAAAGTTATGTATTGAGGGTTTAAAAAAAAAAAAAAAAAAAAAGAGAAACAGAGGAGGGGCACCTCAGTGGCGCTGTCGGTTAAGCATCTGCCTTCTGCTCAGGTCCTGGGATTCCAGGGTCCTGGGATCAAGTCCCACATAGGGCTCCCTGCTCAGGGGGAGTCTACTTCTCCCTCTGCCCCTCCTCCACCCCTGTCCATGCTCTCTCTTTCAAATAAATGAATAAAATCTTTAAAAAGAGAGAGAGAGACAGAGGAATGAGAAATAGAGAAAACAAGCAGAAAATTTATAAAAAGTCAAAACATATCAATAGTTACCTTAAATATAAATGGTTTAAGCATACCAGTTAAAGAGATCAGAGTGTATTAAAAAATAATCATCTAATAATGTGCTGTCCAAAAAAACCTCATTTCAAATGCAATGACATAGATAAGTTGAAAGTAAAAGGATGGAAAAAGTTATATCATGCAAACATTAATCAAAAAAATCTGGGGCACCAGTTGGTTAAGTGTCCAACTCTTGATCTCAGCTCAGGTCTTGGTCTCAGGGTTGTGAGTTCAAGCTCTACACTGGGCTCCATGCTGGGTGCAGATCCTACTTTAAAAAAAAAGTCTGAGCGGCTCTATTAATATCAGATAAAGTAGACATTAGAGCAAAGAGAGTTACTAGAGACAAAAGGGGACATGACATAATGATAAAAGGTAAAATGATAAGTGTTAATCCACCAAGAAGACATTACAATCTTAAATGTGAATCCACCAAGCAAATGAAGCTCATAATATACATAAGCCACAAAACATATGAAACAGACACTGATAGAGCGGAAAGGAGAAATAGACAAACACACAATTATAGTTGGGGAATGCAACGCTCCATTCTCAACAATTGATAGAACTACTTATGCAGAAAATCAGCAAGGATATAGAAGAACTGAACAATACAATCAACCAACAGAATCTAATATACAACACCCAACAACAGCAGAATACACATTTTTGTCAAATACCTACAGAACATTCACCAAGAGAAACCAGATCCCTGGCCATAAAACAAATCTCAACAAACTTAAGAGTTAAAAACATACAGAGCATGTTCTCTTACCATATGAAGTCAAACTAGAAATCAATACCAAGAAAATCTCCAAACATTTTAGAAATTAAACAACACACTTCTAAATAATGTGTGGGTAAAATAGAAGATCTCAAGCCAAAAACACATAATTGAATGAAAATGAAAATATATCAAAATTTGTGGAATTCGGCTAAAGCAATGCTGAAATCAGGAAATTTCATAACATTAAATGCTGCATAGGAAAAAAGAAAAGGTTTCTAATCAAATCAATAATCTAAGTTCCTACACCAAGAAATTAGAAAGAAGGGGCACCTGGGTAACTCAGTTGTTAAGCGTCTGCCTTCAGCTCAGGTCAAGATCTCAGGGTCCTGGGATTAAGCCCCTCATTGGGCTCCCTGCTCAGCGGGGGGCCTGCTTCTCCCTCTCCCACTCCCCCTGCTTGTGTTCCCTCTCTCACTGTGTCTCTCTCTGTCAAATACATAAATAAAATCTTTAAAAAAAAAATAGAGAAGAGGAAAAAAAACCCCAAAGCATGCAGAAGAAAGAAAATAATAAAGATAAGAGCACAAATTGGCAAATTTGAAACAGAAAAAGAATGGAGAAAATTAATGAACAAAAAAAGCTGGAACTTTGAAAAAAAATCAATAAAGTTGATAAATCTTTAGCAAGACTAACAAGGAAAAGGGAAGAAAAAATGAATTACCAATATTAAGAATGGAACAGGGAATATCACTACAGATTCTGCAACTACTAAATGGGTGATAAATACTATAATTTTACTTTTATAAGATTGAAAACTCAGAAAAAAAGGGGATAAATTGCTTAAACACCACAAACTACCAAAATTCAATCAAGAAAAAACAGACAACTTGAGTAGTCTTGTAGCCATTAAAGAAATTCAATTTGTAATTTAAAAGCTCACCACCCACCCTCACCCCCTCCCCCTCCCCCACCCCCACCACACACACACAAATCTTTGATTCTAGATGGTCCCATTAAAGAATTCAACAGAACATTTAAAGAATTAACACCAATTTGGGGCACCTGGGTGGCTCAGTAGGCTAATCGTCTGCCTTCAGCTCAGATCATGATGATCTCAGGGTCCTGGGATTCAGCCCCACGTTGGGCTTCCTGCTCAGCAGAGAGTCTGCATTTCCCTCTGCCTCTGCCCCTCCCCATCCCTGCTTGTTCTCTCTCTCAAATAAATAAAATCTAAAAAAAAAAGAAACAACCCACCAATTTTACGTAATCTCTTCCAGAAAATAGAAGAGGAGGGAACATATCTCAACTTATTTATGAGGCAAGTTTACCCTGATACCAAAACCAAAGACAGTACAAAAATAGGAAACTACAGACCAATATCCCACAATATCTCATTTAGATACAAAAATCCCCCACAAAATATTAACAAACCTAATCCAGCAACATGTAAAAAAAATTGTACACCATAGCCAAGTGGGATTTATTCCAGGTATAGAAGGCTGGTTCAACATGCTTAAAAACAGTCAGTGCAGGGGTGCCTGGGTGGCTCAGTTGGTTGAGCGACCAGCTCTTGGATTCAGCTTGGGTCATGGTCTCAGGGTCATGGGGTCGTGGGGTCAAGCCCCACATCAGGCTCCATGCTTAGCGGGGAGTCTGCTCGGGATTCTCTTCTTCTCCCTCTGCCCCTTCCCCTACTCTCTCTCTCACTCTTTCTCTGAAATGAATAAATCTTAAAAAAAAAAACAGTGCAATCCACCATATCAACAAACTAAAGTCATATGATCATATCAACTGATAGAACAAAAGCACTTAACACAATCCAACACTCATTAAAAACAAAAACAAAAAAACCTCTCAGCAAACTGGAATAGAATGATGTTCCCCAAATTGAAAAAGCATTTACAAAAAAACCTACAACTGACATCATACTTAATGGTAAAATACTGAATGCTTTCCCTCCAAGACAGGGAGGTTCTCTCATTACTTTCATTCAACATAGTACTGAAAGTTGTAGTCAGTGCAATGAGTCAAAAAAAAAAAAAAAAAAAAGGAAGGAAGGAAGAAGGAAAGAAAGAGACAAAAGGCAGACTAGAAAGTAAAAAAATAAAACTGTCCCAATTTGCAGATGACATTACTATCTAAGTAGAAAATCCCAAAGAAGCTACAAAACACAAACAAAAACAACACACACACAAACAAAACCTCCCAGAAATAGTAAGTTCAGAAAGGTCACAGGATACAAAATCAATACACGAAGATTGATTGAATGTCTATATGCTAGCAACAAACATGTGGAAAATGAAACTTAATACTATTTATAATCACTCCAAAGAAAATGAAATACTGAGATATAAATTTACAAAACATGTACAGGATCTGTATGCTGAAAATTACAAAATGCTGATGAAAGAAAAAAAAACTAAATAAATGGAGAAACATATCATGTCATGCACTAGAAACTCAATATAGCAAACATGTGAACACTCCCTAAATTTACCCATGCAATTTCTATAAGAATCCTAGCAAAGCTTTTTGAAGACATAGATAAATTTATTCTAAAATTTATCTGGAAAGAGGCCCCAGAACAGTTCAAGCAATCTTAAAAAGTAAGAATCAACTGAGAAGAATCACTGTATCCAATATTAAGGTCTACTATTTAGCCAGTGATCTACAGAGTGAGGTAATGGTGGAGGAATAGTCATGTAGATCAACTAAACAGAATAGAGAACCCCAAAGTAGACCCACACAAGTATGACCAACTGATTTTTGATGAAGGTATAAAAGCTATTCAGTGGAGGATGGATAGCCTTTTCAACAAATAATGCTGGAGCAATTGGACATCCATACGGGGGAAAAAAATTAACCTACCTAAACCTCACACCTTCTACCAAATTTAACACAAAATGGACCCTGGACTTAAATGTAAAATATAAAACTTTTAGAAAAAAAAGAAAGTTTGGGGGATCTCAGGCTAGGGAAAGAGTTCTTAGACTTGAGAGAGACTAGACACCCAAAAGTATGATCTATAAAAAGAAAAATTGATAAATTGGACCTCATCAAAATAATTTTGCTCTAAAAAGACTCTGTTAAGAGGATGAAGAAACAAACTATAGACTGGATGAAAATATCTCCAAGCCTTTAATCTGACAAAGGACTAGTATCTGGAATATGTAAAGCATACTCAAGGCTCAACAGTAAAAATATAAACAATCCAATTAGAATGTGAGACAGGGGGCACCTGGTGGCTCAGTTGGTTAAGCATCTGTCTTTAGCTCAAATCATGATCCTGGGGTCCTAGGATAGAGTCCTGCATTGGGCTCCTCACTCAGTGGGGAGCCTGCTTCTCCCTCTCCCTTTGCCCCCTCCCCCTGCTGTCCTCTCTCTCTCTCTCAAATAAATAAAATCTTAAAAAAAACATGAGACAGGAGTGACATGAGAGAGGCAGGAGTCAAGAATGATACCCAAGTTTCTAGCTTAGGTGAATAGGGGTTACCAGCTGAGACTGAGAATATAAGGTTTCACATCTTAAAGTATATGTTAAATGTGATTTCATAAATGTAATGTGAAAGAGGACTGCATAGATCAGAACGTGGGCACAAGACATGAACAGACATTTCATCAAAGAGAATATTCAGAAGACAAATAAGTACATGAATAGAGGTTCAACATCACTGGCCATTAAAGAAATGCAAACTGAAACCACAATGAGATGTCACTACACACCTATTAGAATAACCAAAATGCAATATAGTGACAGCACCAAATGCTGGCAAGTGTGTGGAGAAACTGGATCACTCGTACATTGATTGTGGGATTATAAAATGATAACAGCCACTCTGGAAAACAGTTTGGCAGTTTCTTATAAAATTAAACATGCAACTACCGTTCAATCCAGCAACTGCGCTCCTAGACTTTTATCCCAGAGAAAGGAAAACTAATGTTCACACAAAAACCTATACACAAATGTTA